TGCTGGGCATATCATTTGTCGGGTCAACACCGCCAATGAGCTCGTTTGAGTTTATCGTAGTGATGAATTGATAAGTTGACGTTTCCTACGTGTATATTTGCTTGCCTTGTCTGTGTGTTCAGCCGGATATTAAAGGCGGCTTAGGGGAAAATCTGTACACTGCCTGCTCTATTGGAGAACTACCGCGTGATGTGGTTGACGCTTGGTCTGGCGAAGGGAACTGCTTCAGGTACAGTCGTTGGAAGTGTACAGACAAATTGCTCAAACTGGCTTGCTTGCAAGCAGGGCACACACACAGATGAATATACAAGCACGCACCCTTGTAAAGGCACATGCGCGCCCATGAGTGCTTTGTACGCAACCTTATATAAAGTTTCATGCATTATGGACACAGGAATGCATGCAGTTTAAACAGATGACCAGCAGGCAAAGTAGAGGCATGGGGTTGTGTGGTTCTCCCAATATTGGATGCTTCTAGTTTGCATATAGTAGTGCTTGTTATAGTATAATAAAGCAACAAAACTTTGTGTTTAGCTCGTTAGGAATATGTGTTGGGTTCCTGTTGGCTGTTCAGATACGGAAAGATTGGGAATCCTTGCACCGGTGTTCTGGGCCCCAAGTGCAGCATCGAGGCGCATGCAGAAGGCCTTATGACAGGTCACTTCACAGCCACCGTGTGGAATGACTCCAGAGAACTGGGATGCGCATACGTCGTCTGCAAAAGGGAGTGCCAAAACAACAGGCCCCTCTTGCTCGTCGGCTGCCAGTACACCCCAGGTAAACAGCATAGCATGCTATTCGGAAGCCTCCCCAAGCAACAACCACATCGCTTCACAAGCACATACACGAATTACCCCGCAACAACGCATCTAAAAATTCATCACACGCATAACCAACCACACTTAGGCAGTTCTACGCGGGCCTCTCTGGTTGTTGAGCCGGTAGTAGCAGTGACTGCTGTAGTAGCGCATGTGAATGCGTTCTATGTTACTTTTTGTGTGTTGGGCTGCGGTTATGTGTTGGATGTGTCTCCACAGCTGGAAACATTGTGGGGCAAGCGCCATTCCCAAAAGAGACAGCAGTGAAGCTGCAGAGCTTCTACCCGCAGCTGCTGCCGGGGGCCCCTGAAGACCCTGAACAAATAAAAAAGTGCGAGGAATTTAGAAAAGAAATGAAAATGAAAAACCCTCGAGTGGACTTGGTGGAGAAATCAAAAAACACGTAAAATTCAGCATTCAATTACATTGCGCCGGTGTATACACACATACACTTGCATTCTTACAGCTGTGTGCATGTCTACATTATAACTGTAAGAAACTTCTAGACGTGTGCATACCTATATTGAACTATTTTTAGTCATCTTTGTGCACTCATAGATTATACTGGTATCTCCCACCTATATTTATATGCCTATTTTTATTTCCTTGCGCCNTTTGTGCACTCATAGATTATACTGGTATCTCCCACCTATATTTATATGCCTATTTTTATTTCCTTGCGCCGAATTGTGCCAAAATATTGTGCTGATATGTTGTATTGATATATAACAAAACGAGTTATCGAATGGGTTTTCTGTGTTGTATACACCTGCCTGCCTTCGCGCCCAGTAGTAGTAGTGCTACTAAATATGTAGGAGGACGCAAGACGCGGTTCAGGAGATATGTAGTGAGGTGTCTGCTCTTTTTCTATGAAACACTCGTGTGCTTACATGGGTTCGTTGGTGTTTAGTTTTTTGAGCTCAAAAGTAATAACAACGCATATACACCTTTCCATCCATCTTTATTTAATCAAGCACACGTCGATACATGTAAGTGTATTTGCGTTACTCTCTTGGGGTTGACCATGCTCAGTGTATGCATGTTTGTATGCGCATATACATTTATCTACCTTCACGTATGCATGCATACGTTAATATGTGTTCCTACAAATAGCACGCCCACAAAAGGGGTGCTGAAGGCTCAAACACAAAAAGGGAGACAGGCGGCACCAAAGCAGTCAGCCCGTTTCCCTGGATGTACACCGCGAGCGAACACAAAATAACTGCAGTAAACATCCATGCATGCATGCNAGCCCGTTTCCCTGGATGTACACCGCGAGCGAACACAAAATAACTGCAGTAAACATCCATGCATGCATGCACCCACCATATGTTCTCAAGGATGCGCAACCTCATGCATTGAGGTGACAACCCAAAATACAGTTTTTATAAGGGGCCCACGGCCCTTCAATTGCTATACCAGGCAGCGCTATGTGGATCTTACATTCTAAAGCTAACTGAAAGGCTTCGCCTATCAGCTCTAGCTACAAAAAAAAATTTTATTTAACGCTAAGCCGCACAAATGTTGCTGTATTGAAAGTACGGGTGACACCGGACTCTACATGAACAGCTCTTTATAATGGCTACAGCACTAGTGCTTTTTTTGTGTTGTATTCGCTGCCTGCTTAGTGGGGGGCTGTACGTAGAGTTTAAATGGGGGTAAACAGGCCGCTAAAAGGGGAGAAAGAGTTGAAGTATAAGCCGATATAGATGCAACAAACGAATAAATCCTCGATAGAAAGGCAGCAGACGGCTGCAATGCATTAACTGGAAATCAGGCAGAGACTGAGCGCTCAGCATCCTCTAGCAGGAGTGAGTAGTTGATAGGGGGAGAGCAGAGTTGATAGAGGGCGCGCATTGCAGCACTCTGTTGCGTGTGTACACGGGCCTATATCATTCTATCTACGGGCGATCCGCTGCTAGTTCCTTCTTTGCTGTGCTCTGCGCTCATCTCGCTGCGTACGGATAGCTCAGCGAGCGCCAACACCACTTTGATTTTTTATATATTGAGGGGCTGGGTCCCACCATTTAGGCTTTGGCTGCTGTTGGGAGACAACATAAACTTCTACCATATTGTTATTCATATGGCATAGCAGTAGTAGCAACAGCAGCAGCAGATGGTGCCGCAGGAGTGCCGTCTCTGGGCACTGACCGAGACAAAATATACAGCATTCATGAACACTTCACTTGCTCTAGGTTTCGGCCGGTGGTCGCTGTGAGTGCAACAGCAGCACAGGCTGCGGCGGAGCAGCGGCAGCAGAAACTGGAGCAGCGTCTAGCTCACGACAGACAGAGGCCAGTGACGCTGCTGGAGCGTCGTGCAGCTGGAAGCAGCTAGAAGAGAACAACAGTAGGCTTGTCCCAGGCGCAACAACACCTCGATTTGGTTTAAGTGCTTTGACACCGTTGATATTTATTTATATTTTTTTAATCTACAACTGCATTTCATGCCCCCCAGCGGCCCCTTCTTTTCGGTGTCACCAAGGGCCTCACCTCCTATACTAGGAGCAACAGCAGCGGTTGCTTCTGCCCGGCAACAGGAACGAGCCAAACCAAACGGCAACAACAGCAAGCTAATAAAGCAGAAAGTCAACAGGAAACTAACGAAAGCAGCTACATAATCACACTGGCGAACAAGTGAGAGCAGTGGAACACCAGAGCCATGCATTGCAGCAGCAGCGGCTGAAAGTGCCGCAGGATCGCTCCACTCTCTCCACCAATTCATTGCTGCAAGAGCAGGCATAAGACGACGTTTGCTGCCTGGGAGAGATGGGGGAATAGATACAGCATTTTCTGTTTGAAGCTGGCACACGCACTTTTACTTGCTTGCAGGCTGCCTACTACTGGCTGCCTACTGCGGGCCAGCCGATTGTTCAATAGTTGTATAGAGTGTTAGTGCATGCAAGAGAGGATCCTTGGCTCTGCTTGCATGTGAAGTTTCCTTGAAGCACTTGTTCCAGGGATCTCCACTGCAACTCATTTCAGACTGCCAGCTACCCCCAAGTTTGTTCTTGCCTTTGGGGTGCTGTGCCCAGGCTGCCTGGGGACTCACGGGGAGCCCAAGCGCTTTGGGCTCTCTAAGTTTTTTCACTTTGTTGCAGTTCACGAATGTCATTGAATAGAGTCGCGGACACTCGTTATGTCCATTTCAGTATTTTTATTCTATCATATACTAATATAGCATTATTATTCTATAGTAGAAGAATATGGTGTTTTTATATTATTATGTACAGTAAGTATAACCATTATTATTTCATTATCACAAATAATAAATATATTATTATTCATCCTATGTTGTAATTCTATGATTGCCAGGAGTCACCCT